AAGGTAGACTGGAAGGTATGCAGGATGAGTTTGCAGAATTACACAGAAAGTTATGGCTTTTTTTTTTTTTACATGCAGTATTCTGAACATGTTCTCTCATCGTGTATTATTAACAGCTGCTTTTCTAGATCGGAACTGTCTCTATAATTCAGTAGTCTTTTTTATCTTCTTTACTATTAATTGTTTAGCATGCCAGAGAAAAATACAAATCCTGTAATATAGAGTATAGAGTTGCTGATTTTTGTATGTTTACTCGTCGACCAATCGCCTAAAACCCAAAGATATTCAATTTACCTTCAGCTTAAAGGTATAAAGCTGCAAAAAAAAGATCAATTCCTTGCATTTTACAAGCTGGCCCTGCCAAATCGGTTGGTTTTTAAATATAAAATAGAGAAAATGTATTTAAAAAAGCTACAGCAAATATTGTCTCTGTAGCTTGGAGTGAGATACTCCAAAAAAAAAAAAGCCAAATGCTGCTAATCCATGTCTGAAAATAGTCTGCAAGAAATGCACTGTTTGCTCTTGGTTAAGTTCTATTAATTAAAACTACAAGGCTCAGATGTTGGAACTTCTTGATTCTTTTGTGAACAATTAAACAACATACACAAGAAGTTTTTAAAGTTAGTGAAATCAGAAAGTGTTGTTGATTTTTGTGTTTTCGTGGGATCTGTTGACAATAAAAGCAGTATAGATTCACACCAGCCTCATTCTTATCACATCCATTGAAAGAATACTCATTTCAGTGCTATACTTGTAGATATCCAAGATGTTTCTAACCCTTAACACACATCTGGAGGCTATAAGTAGTGTGACTGGATCCTTTTTTTTTTCTTGAGTTGCCCTAGTTTTCTCCCTGTATTTAGTCAAGATTCCTGCAGATACCACAGTCTGTCCGCACTGACTGGACGTTACCCAAATCCCGTCCAGACTCTTATGTTTGAGTGTAACATCAGGACACTGCTCATTCCCGTATTAAGCCACGGCGCGCACCACCTGGCTTCGCTGCAAATGCTGGCTGACATGTCGTGTTCATGTCCTGGTTGTCATAATAGGGGCGCTGACAGGGACTTCTTAATGCCAATGACTCCTCTACCATCAACACTGCTTATGTAACCCTACTTATGTGGCACCCAGCCTGAGCATTTCCAACCCCGGACCCCCCAGTTCAATACACACACCTCCTGTTGGCTAAGAATAAATCTTCCAGCTGGCAGAGACGACAGTATAGGAAAACTTCTAGCACACATCTATGATTCTAGCACGCAAGGATATACCCGCTTGTCCTTTAAAAACGGAGATGGTTTGTTTTCATGGCTCCCCACCCCCCCGCGTTGTTTTCTCTAGTGTTGAGCAATATTTTTTGGCCTCGTTTTCCAGAGAGAGGTTGGGACAGATAGAAGCAGTCTAATATTCCATGGAAATGTTAGATCGAAGTCTTGCACAGTGAGCAGCTCTTCTTTAGGAAATGCCACAGAGCTTCTGACTGAATCGAGATTCTGACAGAATAATCACTTCTATGACGCTTTCCTCTGGTGGTTGCCATAATGTGAGAACTGTCTCAGAGTATTGCTGTATGATTTTCATCTCTGCTATTAGTCACAGCTTATGTGCATGTGTTTACTTGGGGAGGAGGTGTTGTTGTGTTACCCTGAAATTAGCCAGCGCCGACAACAATGCAATCTGATGGCTGCTACCGCACCTCATAATTTGCTTTCTGTTGTTTCCGTGTGTAGTTGATTTGCCTGTTTTTTTTTTACTTTTTAAGTGAACAATGGTTGCGTTGAGTTGAGGACAGGTTGAGTCACATGAAATAATCGCCCATTGTCAGCTCCAGTTTGTTCAACAGCTTTTTATGAAGAGCGTTGTTCAGAGTTGCCACAGCACCGTTTTTTTATTTTTTTTATTTTCCAAGAATAACCGCATTTAGCAGCATCTTAGTAATTTGCAACCGTGCCTGCCAAGCTGTAGTAAATCTTGTGGGTTTGGAAGCGTCCAGTCTTCTAGCGGTGAGACGGCGTGCCACAGCTAGTTACTCTCACTCTTGTGCAGCCTTCATTTCTTTGCCCTGTCCCCAGGAGACAAAGCTCGCCACACAGGGGTCCGATGTTATCGCGCTTAGATACATAAATATCCAGATGCACACCAACCCATAAACCCACTGACTCACTCACCCCAGCTCACACGCGAAAACTGCGCCGAGCTCTCACTCTCAGGCCGTGATTTGTGTCATCCTGCGTGCGTTTCCTTATTTTTCAGAACACGATGATCTATCGGAGCTGTAAAACCTCAAACGTCCATAAAGCCAAACGAAGTGTATCCAGGGCAAATTAGATTTAAAGCCGAAACCGACTGACTAAGAAGATGCGTGGAAATTTGTGTAATTTAAAAAGCTTTTTTGAGCCGTGGTGACATTTTAAACATAACACAATCACCGCTTTTTACTCTTATGCCAACATGTTTTTTTCCCCTTTCTGCAAGCCATTTAGTATTTCTGACAGAGGTCTTACATATGAGGAATAAGCTGCAGACGGTGTTTAGCGGTTACATTTTTCACATAAAGTCATGTCACTTGAATATAATGCTGCGATTGATGCTCTTCTGGTTTTGTTTCTGTGTGAGATTCCTTCTGGATAGTTCTACTGTTACATTTAACCCTTTAAAATGTAATGTGAAAGGGATTGAGACCACAAAGAATTATCACCAGACTTCCCAGATGTCTCAGTTGATGTTTTCTCTGTGTAGTTTATACAGTAAATCCTTTAACGATCCGATGAATGATGTGAAAGAAGATGTAACCACAAAGAATTATCACCAGACTCGGTTTCCTCAGTATCACGCAGCATTTTGGAGTTTTTCCTGGAAACATTTTAAGCATCTTACAATCACTACTTTTTACTTTTAACCCAAAGTATTCACAGTTTTGCAAGTACGTAGGTCTTACATATCAGGAATAGGCTGTAGCCTGTTTATACCAGTTTCATTTTCTATAAAAATTCATGTCACTTGAATACAATATCGCAATTGATGTTTTTTCTGCATAGTTTTTACTGTGAATCCTTTAAAACCCAGTGAGTGATGTAAAAGATGTCGCAACCG